AGTGAAGAGGGATGTCTTGACTGCAGGAAAGTTTTCCTTGAGAGAAACAAGGCCTGGACCCCAGGCTGTGCTTCCCAGTCCAGAGCACCAGAGCCAAGAGCTGCAGTCCACATAACATCCAGCCCTGAAAAGTGGCAGGGCTTCTAGAAGAGTTGAAGCTGGTCAGAGATGAAGCCAGATTTGAAAAACAACAGAGCACAGGATTTTCTTTTCTTTTTTTTAATATGTTTTATTGATTTTTAGAGAGTTAAGGAGAGGGAGAGAGAGAAACATCAATGAGAGAGAAAAACATCAATCAGCTGCTTCTCGTACACCCCCTACTGGGGATATAGCCCACAACCTGGGTATGTGCCCTGATCAGGAATCAAACTGGTGACCTCTTGGTGCATGGGTCAATGCTCAACCAGTGAGCTACACCAGCCAGGCTGAGCACAGGATTTTCATTTGCAGCTACTCACTCGAGGCTTCGGTGCAGGGAGGCTAGTGTGGACTAGAGTTGTCTGAAGAGAGGCTGGAGTAGGAAGCACTGGGGAAAAAGTGGCAGCTGGAAGACCTGCAATCAGTTGCCCGACTGCCCCCCTCCCACCTCCCAAATACTGCAGTGGCCATTTTTCCTGAGAGGCGCAGGCCTCTTGCAGCAGCAAAAACTTGAGGCAAATACCACTCCCTCAGGGATACACCTTGCCCCACCCTCAGAAATCCCATTTGCCTACCCTGCATCTCAACCACTGCTGAAGATACAGTACAGAAGCCAAGCCTATGTGTTTTAAGAGACTCAGGGAGCATCAGTGACTACCTTTGAAACAGATCCATTCCCTACCACTGTTCTGGTGTTTTTCCCTCATGGGAGAGCTGAAACTCCCAGTTTCCAGAAGACCCCAATGGACTGATTACGAGGGCCTCTACCCTGTCGAGGTTGGGGAAATATTCTGGGACCATCTCAGATGAGTGGCTCTGGGATAGGAAAACACACTCAGTATCTTCTCTGAAATCTGAACAGTACCTCCCCCTCATAGGAGAGCCAGAGGTCTCATACTCCCAGTTCTACCAAAAGCCCTCTCAGAAAAAAGCCTTTTTAGTGACTAAATCTGATAGCTGGCCAGCAGGTGGAGTTGGACAGAAGTGGAGCCCAGGGAGTCTTGAGACATTTGCTGACCCATCCCTGGGCCACCTGCTGCTAACAGGCCAGCCCTAGAGTGCGGCTTGGCCCCTTTCACACATGGAGGCAGCAAAAAACTGTGGATTGCTTGAAACTTCTAATGGGTTACCAAGAGTCAAATGTGGACAGCTTCTGTCAGTGGTTGGCACCAAAGTAACTCCCAGGAGGCCCATAAATGACAGACAAAACAGTCAACCTCAGTTAACACAAGAGTAGGATCCAAAAGGAACTCCTAGGAAGCACTAAACTCTCCGAGATAAACTCTCACTATTTTTTTTTCTTTTTTGCATTATTTTGTTTATTTTTATTTTTTTTACTTTTTATGGGTTTGTGATTATTGTTGCCTCTTTTCTTTCATATCTCTTACTTTTCTCCATTATTTTCTTCTCTTTCCTTCTTTCTCTTTTTTTTTCTTATTTTCTGTCTTTCTTCTTTCTCCTTTTTTTCTTTTTTGTAATTTTTTCCTTTATCTTTTTAATGTCATTTTTGTTTTTCTATTCTTTATTCTTATTTTTTCTTCCCATCTTTCCCTTCATATTTGCCCTCCTTCTTTCCCCTTTCTTCTCATATTTTATATTTTCTTTTATTATTCTTGTTCTCTTTTTTCTTCCCTAATTAACTTTTCTTTTATGGTTGTAATTGTTGTTTTTGTATTGGTCTTTGTATGTTTTTGTTAGGTTTCTTGTTTTGTTCTGTCAGCACCTGCACAACAGCTTACATGACATGGTCAGGGTTGAATCTCACAGTCAGTCATCCTGAGGGGAGATCCCACTCACAAATGGGACAACTACAGTCAAGACCCAGTTACAACAGGAAAGCCCAAATAACCCACACAAGGAACAATCTAAAGCTAAGGATATCAAATAAACTACACCACTGGATCCCATTGGACACTTACTACATAAGGCCACACCACGAAGACTAGGAGGCAAAACAGATCTATCTAATACATAGAAAGAAATACAAATGTAAAGCAAAAATGGGGAGACAATGAAATAACCCCCAAATAAAATAAAAGGAGAAGACACCAGAAACAAACCTAAATGAAATGAAGGCAAGCAATTTATCAGATACAAACTTCAAAGTAATACTTACAAGGGGGTTCAAGGAACTCAGTGAGAATTACAAGGACCTTAGTGGGAATTGCAACAAAATTTAAAAAGGTAATAGAAACCAATCATAAATGAAGAATACCATATCTGACATCAAGAATACACTAGAGGAATCCAAAGCAGATAGAATGAAGCAAAGAATAAAATCAGTGATTTGGAAGACAAGGTAAAAAAAAAAAAAAAATTGAGAAGCCAAAAGAAAAATGAATTAAAAATAGGAGGATGGTTTAAGAGAAATTTGGGACAGCCCTGGCCGGTTTGGCTCAGGGGTTAGAGCGTCGGCCTGCGGTCCGGAAAGACCCGGGTTTGGTTCCCGCTAAGGGCACGTACCTCGGTTGCAGTTTGTCCCCGGCCCTGGTTGGTCGTGCGGGTGGCAGCCACTCAATGTGTCCCTTCACGTCGATGTTTCTCTACTCTCTCTCTCTCTCTCCCTCCCACTCTATCTGTACAAAAAATGGAAAAATATCCTCGGGTGAGGATAAAAAAAAAAAAAAAAGAGAAATTTGGGACAATATTAAACCTAACAACATCCACAGCATAAGGGCATTAGAAGAAAAAGTAAGTTAGGAAGGAACAGTGAACCTGTTTTTGTTTTGTTTTGTTTATTAATTTATTTTGTTACAGATGTTTCTCTTTCCCCCCATTGACACCCTCCTCACCATCCCCCCACTCCATCCCTAGCTTTGTTGTCAATGTCCATCAGTTATGTATACATGCATATAAGTTCTGTAGTTTATCCCTTCCCTCCACCCCCCCTTCTGAGGATTGTCAATCTGTACCCTATTTCTATGACTCTGGATCTATTTTGTTGATCAGTTTGTTTATTTCATTATACTCCAGAAATAAGTGAGATCATGTGATATTTGTCTTTTTCTGCTTGGCTTGTTTCACTTACAATAATACTTTCCAGGTCCCTCTGTGTCATCTCAAAGAATAAGAGCTCTTTCTTTCTTACAGCTGCATAGTACTCCATTGTGTATATGTACCATAGCTTTTTTATCCACTTGTCTACTGATGGACACTTGGGTTGTTTCCAGATCTTAGCTATTGTAAATAGTGCTGCTATGAACATGGGGGTACATATAGTCTTTCTGATTGGTGTTTCAGGCTTCTTAGGGTATGAACCTGTTTTTTAAAATAATGACAAAAAACTTCCCTAACATGGTGAAGGAAAAATCGCACAAATTCAGGAAGCACAAAGAGTCCCAAACAAGATGAACCAAAAGAGCCCTGGCCAATTAGGTTCAGGGGTTAGAGCATTGGCCCATGGACCAAAGAGTCACAGGTTTGATTCCCAGTAAAAGGCACAGATTTTATTTGCATGTTCAATACCCAGCCTCAGTTGGGGTCCTGCAGGAGGCAACCAATCAATGTGTCTCTCTCACATCAATGTTTCTCTCTCTCTCTCTCTTTCTCTCTCTCTCTCTCCTCTCTCTCTCCCTCCCCCCTCCCACTTTATCTAAAAAATGAATAAAAAACTATCCTTGGGTGAGGATTAAAAATTAAAAATAAAAGATGAACCAAAGGAGGCCCATTCTAAGATACATCATAATTAAAATAACAAATGTTAATGAAAAAGAAAGGATATTAATGGCAGCAAGAAAAAGACAGAAAATTACCTACAAGGGAATTCCTATAAAATTGTCAGCATATTTCTCAACAGAAACACTACAGGTCAGAAGGGATTAATATGAAGTATTCAAAGTAACATGAAAAGCAACAATCTGAATCCAAGACTACTCTTCCAGGCAAGACTATAATTTAAAGGCAAAATTAAAAGCTTCCCAGACCAAGAAAAAAAGGCTAAAGGGGTACATTACCACCAAAACATCATTGCAAGAAATGTTAAAAGGACTGCTTTAAGAAGAAGAAATCAAAAGAGATAAACATAGGTATGAAGAAAATATGGCGATAAATAAGGACCTATCAATAAAAACCTTAAATGAAAATGGATTAAATGCTTAAATCAAATACATAGGGTAGCTGAATGGATAAGAAAACATGACCCATAATATATACTGTCTACAAGAGACCCACATCAGAAGAAAAGGTTTACACAGACTAAAAGTGAATGGGTGGAAAAAAATATTCCATGAAAATGTAAATGAAGAAAAAGCTGAGGTAGGAATACTCATATCTGACAAAATAGATTTCCAAACAACGGCCGTAACAAGAGACAAAGAAGGACACTACATAATACTAAAATGATCAATCCAACAGAAAGATATAATACTTTAAAAATATAAATGGCGATTTGCTACCTTGCAAAGCTCCCCCTCACTCCAAGCAGCATGTGCTTGTAGTTTCATAGTGCTGCACCGATCCCGGCAGGCCGAGAGACAGCATACACCAGCCGGGCTGTTTCTTTTGGATATATATCCAGGACTGGGATTGATGACTCATATGCTAGTCTTACTTTTAATATTTTGAGGAACCTCCATCATGTTTTCCACAGTGGCTGCACCAATTTACATTCTTTCTTTCTTAATTTTTATGTATTGCTTTGAGAGAGAGAGAGAGAAAGAAACATCAATTTTTTGTTCCACTTATTTATGCATTCATTGGTTGATTCTTGTATGTGGCCTGACTGGGGATGGAACCCACAACTTTGGCATATTGGGATGATGCTCTAACCAAGTAAGGTACTCTGCCAAAGCCCCAATTTACATTCTAACCAACAGTGCACAAGGGTTCCCTTTCCTTCACATCCTGACCAACACTTACTATCTATGGACTTTTTGATAGCAGATCTAACAGGTATGAGATGATGATATCTTATTGTGGTTTGATTTGCATTTCCCTTATGGTGAGTGATGTTGAACACTTTTTCATGTATCTATTGGCCATTTGTATGTCTTCTTTGGAAAAAAATCTGTTCAGGTCCTCTGCCCATTTTTTAATCAGATTGTTTGTTCTTATTTGTTTTTTTGCTTTTGAGTGCTTTTGAGTTATATGGGTTCCTTGTATATATATATATATTTTTTTTTAAATATGTTTTTATTGATTTTTTTTAGAGAGAGAGGAAGGGAGAGAAAGATAGAAACAGAAACATCAATCAACTGCCTTCTGCACACCCCCTACTGGGGATCGAGCCCACAACCCGAGCATGTACCTTAACCGGGAATCAAACCAGAACCTCTCAGTCCATGGGACGATGCTCAATCCACTGAGCTATACTGGCTGGGCTCTTTGTATATTTTTAATATTAACCTCTTATCTGATGTATGATTTGCAGACATTTTCAACATTTTCTCCCATTCTGTGGGTTGTCTCGTTGTGTTGATATTTTCCTTTATTGTATACAAATTTTTTGGTTTGATGTAATCCCACTTGTTTATTTTTGCATGTGCTTTTGGTGTCATATCCAAAAAATTGTTGCCAAGACTGATATTAAGGAGCTTTTCCCCTACTTTTTTCTATGAATTTTGTAATTTCAGGTCTCTCTCTCTTTTTTTTTTTTTAATCCTCACCCAAGGAAAGTATATAAGCTTCAAATTCAGACACAGAAATGAAACCTGAACAACTGCCTACTTGTGTGAATGCCGGCAATCCTGTGTTTTCATGCATGATGGATCCAAAGACACTCTGTACAGCTACCTCGCTATCAGAACCAAAGATGATTATGTATAAAACCAATTCAAGTGCTTATGGTGAATTTTTACCTATGCCACAGTTTTTCCCCTGCATTTATACTCCAAAGGGGCAAGAATTTTCAAGTCATATCAGAGCTACAAGATTTTATCAAAATAACACTCTAAACACTGCACCTGACAGAACCAGAACCCTTGATTTTCCTAATTTTCAGCACACTCTATGAAAATATATTTCTTTGTATATTTAAGAGAAAACATACTCAGAAAAAATGAGTTTTAAGTCTAAGGCTAGAATACCTAATTTGGAATATTAAAAGATTTAATTTTTTTTAAAATACTGTTAAGAAATAAATAATTTAAAGTGATAACTGAGTGACATTGACTTCTGAAATAAAAATGTGCTCAGAATAGCATTACAAAAGGTAGAAGCATTTTTGTACATCCTAGCCTTATTTAGTACATGTATTACTCCCCAAGCTTCAAAAAACTTTCCTGATTTCAGTTGTCTACTGAGTATATTTATCAAGACAAAGGAGCATGGGAGCTCTAAGAAAAAAATTGAATTAAGGAAGACTCTGACCAGTAATTTCCCACTTTTATGTTATTTCAAGTAATAGCTTAAGACCTGGAGAAATGTTAGTTCCCTCTGCTAGGCTCATAGAAGAGAGAACTTTTTTTTTTTTAATTCCTCAACCGAGGATAGTTTTTCCATTATTCATCAGATGGGGGAGAGAGAGACAGAGAGAAACATTCATGCGATAGAGCCACATTGACTAGTTGCCTCCTTCACGGCCCAATCAGCGCTGGGGTGAACCGCAGCCAAGGTATGTGCCCTTGACCAGAATCATACCTGCGGCTCATTGGTCTGTGGGCCAACACTATAACCACTGAGCTAAACCGGCCCTTTTTAAAAAAAAAAATTTTTTAATTCATTTTAGAGCCAGGCTGGTGTGGCTCAGTGGTTGAGCATTGATTCATGCACCAAGAGGTCAACAGTTCAATTCAGGACACATGCCCACATTGTGGGTCTAATCCCTAGTAGGGGTCGTGCAGGAGGCGGCAACTGATGTTCTCTCTCATCAATGTTTCTCTCTCCCTCTCCCTCCCTCTCTTTCTAAAATCAATAAAGAAAAAAAAAAAAAATATATATATATATATATGGCAACTCTAAAGGACACAATAAATCAGATGTATTTAATTGATATTTACAGAACATTTTATTCCAAAGCAGCATAATATACATTCTTCTCAAGTATACATGGAACATTCTTAAAATTAGACCACATACTGGGACACAAAATAAGTATCAAAAAATTCAAGACTGACATCATATCAAGCATCTTATCTTCTCAGATTACAATGGCATGAAACTAGAAATCTACCTCAAGAAAAACAAAAGCATTCGAACACATGGAGGCTAAATAGCATGTTATAAAACAATCAATGAATTAACAGTAATATCAAAGAAGAAATTTTTAAAATGCCTAGAAACAAATGAAAATGAACACAAAACAACTCAAAATCTAGGGGACACAGTGACAGCAGTCATGAGACAGAAGTTCAAAGGCCTACCTCAAGAAACAAGAAAAGTGCTGAAATAAAAATTCAATCTGCAACTAAAAGAATTAGAGAGAGGACAATAGGAAAAGCCCTGAGTAATTAAAATGAAGGGAATAATAGTGATCATAGTGTGGGGGAAAGGACATAGAGATTTTAAAAAACAGTGCGAAAGATCAATGAAATCAATACCTGGTTCTTTGAAAAGATAAACAAGATAGATAAACCTTTAGTCATACTTAAAAAGAAACAAAAGAGGATTCCAAAAAGGTGGCAGAGTGAATGGAAGCTACACAGACCATCTCCCAGGACCAAACTGTAATTACAACTAAAATAAAGACAAATTGTTGGGAAAAAGCAACAGAAAAGCAGCTTGGGAGGACCATATAACGAGGGACACTGACTAAATCCTGGTAGGATTGCAGAGGTGTGAGGGGGGGGCTGGGAGCCCATGGTCAACAGCAGCCTTAACTGTGAGCAATGCCCTCAAGGTCAAAGTCCAAGTGGCTCCACAGGACAGAGCCAGGACAGACACTAACATAGCCACAGCAACTCACCTTGGGCTCTGGCAAAAGGAGAGCAGACTGGACTGGAACTGTATGGGGACACTCAGGATTTGGAGGGCACTCAGAGCTTTTGCTGAGTTGCAGGAACGCAGGATTTTGGCCATCTTAATCCTTCCCAGGGCTCTGGGGAGAGGTGGCAGTCCCTCCCTCAGAGATTCAACCCCACCAGGTGGGCCATTAAAACGCAAAATTGAGGCTCATTAACAACCAGGATCTGACCCACAGTCAGAAAATCCCCTTATGCTGAACACCTGAGAAAGTTTATCATTCAACTGAGAACCCAAGTTTCTTCAAGTAACCTCAACTAATAGCTTCCAGGCAAAAAGCTAGAGGATAACTGAACCATTCCAGGGCTTGCAACTCTGCCCAGGAAAGTAAGACTTGATAGTGGTGTTTAACATGGGTCCTCCCACGCTCATCCCAACCCAGGAGAGGAAACCACAAATGCCAGAATTCCAACACCCATAGGGAAAATTTGGCAGGCTCTAAAGCCCACTGTGATAGACAAAACAGTGAAACTACGAAACAAATGCCAAATGAAAGAACAAGAGAATTCTACCAAAGATGAGATAAATATGGAGCAGTTAAGCCAGTAAACAGAGGTAGAATTCAGAGCCATAATCTTGAGGAAGCTCAACAGCATGAGTAAGGACTTCAACACCATGAGTAAAGACATAGAAATGTTGAAAATCAACAAGTTGAAAATTAAATACCACCAAGAAGAAACGAAGAATGACATATCAGAAATAAAGAACACATTAGAAGGTCTAAACAGCAGAGTAGAGGAAGCTGAGGACTGGATCAGTGAATTAGAATACAGACTAGAAAAAATCAATCAATCAGAAAAAAATCAAAATTCAAAAAAACAATTAAAAAACAGGAAGGTGCCCTGGCCGGTTTGGCTCAGCGGTTGGAGCGTCAGCCTGCGGTACAGAGAGACCCAGGTTTGGTCACGGCTAAGGGCGCATGCCTCGGTTGCAGTTTGTCCCCGGCCCTGGTTGGTCGTGCGGTTGGCAGCCACTCGATGTGTCCCTTCACATTGATGTTTCTCTCTCTCTTCCTCACTCTCCCTCCCGCTCTATCTGAACAAAAAATGGAAAAATGTCCTCGGGTGAGGATAAAAACAAAACAAAACAAAACAAAACAAAAACAAAAACAAAAAACAGGAAGGTAGCTTAAGAGAACTGTGGGACACCTGGAAACATAATAATATTTGCATCATAGGAGTTCCAGAAAAGAAGAAAATGAGCAAGAGTTAGAGAATATATTTGATGAAATAGTGACAGAAAACTTCCCTAATTTGGTGAAGGAAGAAAGCATTCAAGTAAGAAGAACGCAAACAGGCAAACACCAACACACAGTAATTAATAAGGCCAAAAATTAAAGACAAAGAGAGAATCCTAAAGACAGCAAGAGATAAGCAACAGGTTACCTACAAAGGAACCACCATTAGGCTCTCAGCTGATTTATCAACAGAAACATTACAGGCCAGAAGGGAATGGCATGAAGTAATCAAGGTCTTGAAAAACAGGGATCTAAATCCAAGACTACTCTATCCAGCAAGGCTATCATTCAAAATAGAAGGTCAAATAAGGAGCTTCCCAGACAACAAAAAAAAAGGCTAAGGAAATACATTAGCACCAAACCAGCACTGCAAGAAGTGATAAAAGGTTTGCTGTTCCCACTTCTAGGAATATACCCTACGAAGCATAAAACACCAATCAGAAAGAATATATGTACCCCCATCTTTGTAGCAGCTCTATTTACAATCGCTAAGATCTGGAAACAGCCCAAGTGCCCATCAGTAGACAAGTGGATTAAAAAGCTGTGGTACATATACACAATGGAGTACTACGCAGCTGTAAGAAAGAAAGATCTCTTATCCTTTGAGACTACATGGAGGGACCTGGAAAGTATCATCCTAAGTGAAACAAGCCAAACAGAGAAAGACAAATTTCATATGATCTCACTGATTTGTGGAATATAATGAACATAACAGTTTGAGGACAATCCCCTAAGGAGTGGGGAGGTGAGAGAGGGATGAACCACAGAACTTATATGCATGTATGCATAAACAGTGGACATGGACAACAATCTGGGGAAGGGGCAGGGAGGGAAGGGGGAGGGGGGAATCAGTGGGGGAAAAAAGGAGAATCATTTGTAACAAAAATTAATCAATAAAAAAAAAAGGTTTTCTGTACTTAGTAGAAGAAATAGGAAGAAAAATATAACCACACTAAACAAAAATGGCAATAAACAAGTACATATCAATAATCACCTTAAATGTAAATGGACTGAATGCTCCAATAAAAAGACACAGAGTAGCTGATTGGATAAGAAAGCATGACTCACATATATGTTGTTTACAAGAGACCCACCTCACAACAAAAGACTCACATAGGTTGAAAGTGAAGGAATGGAAAAAAACTTTCCAAGGTAATGAAAAGGGTTTAGCTGGGGAAGCAATACCCATATCTGATAAAATAGATTTCAAAATGAAGGCCATACTACAGACAAAGAAGGCCACTACATAATATTGAAAGGATCTATCCAACAGAAAGATATAACATTGATAAAAATATATTCACCCAATATAGGAGCACCAAAATATATTAAAAATCTCCTGGAGGACTTCAAAGGAGAAATTGACAGCAATACAATCATGGCAGAGGACTTCAACGCCCTGCTGACATCACTGGATAAATCCTCCAGACAAAAAATTAACAAGGAAACACAGACTCTCAATGAAGTGCTAGATCAAATGGATTTAATAGATTTCTACAGAGAATTACACCTCAAAACTACAGAAGTCACATTCTTCTCAAGTGCACATGGGACATTCTCAAAGATGGACCACATGTTAGGACACAAACTAAATCTCTACATTTCAAGAAGATTGAAATCATATCAAGCATCTTCTCAGATCACAATGGCATGAAACTAGAAATCAATGGCAACATGAACATGCAAAGGCATTTGAAAACATGGAGGCTAAATAGCATGTTATTGAAAAATGAATGGGTTACCATGGAGATCAAGAAAGAAATTAAAAACTTCCTGGAAACCAATGAAAATGAACACACAACAACACAAAATCTATG